TGCTGAAGCCCTGTGAGTCTCGTAAAATCACCTATGGTGATGCCCTGCTCATTCTTGAGTGAGGGTGAGGAGCTGAGGAGCCCGTCCTTGGGGGACGGGTGGGGAATGTGGCTTGGGTGGAGCCCAAGCCAAATGCAAAGTTTGGATCCCCAACCATTGCTTGTGCAGTGTTGGCTTGAGAGCAGGGGTCTGTGAGTCGCATGGGTGGCCATGAAGGCCGAGTGTTGGAGCGACTGCAGACAGAAACCCTGAGGGTTGGCGATTACCCCCAACAGAATAAAATTGCCAATCCCAGAGCTAGTGCATCCTGGGGGTGGATGCTGTGTGTGCCTTGTAGCCGAGACTACAGCCAGAGAAGGCCAGGAAGCCTGACGGCTCCTGGTGTGTTATAGCAGATGCCGTGTGTGATTTCCCCTCCCTCGTATGAGCAGTGCCTTCGGCAGCAGATTTGGTGGCTCATCTGCTTGGTACCAATAATTGTCTTTTGCACTTGGTTGGTGCCCTGCCTGGACTTATTTGTTCTGTTGTATTTTGTTATGTTGTATTTTGTTATTTGATGTATTTGCTTTTGTGGGCCATGGCTGCATTGTTTGTTTGCTTAGAAAATTGTGTATATATGTATAGACTGTATGGCAGAAAACCCTGAGGGGGTGGACTGTAGGGTAAAGAAAATGTCAGGCTTTTCTGCCCTTCCGCCATCAGGATAGATGATGGATCCTTGTCCTGAATGCATGCCTGATGGCGGGCACCTGGAATAGGGTGTGGGCATAGGTAGATGGGATTCAGCTGAGCTAAGACTGTGCTTTTAAGGGTGGCGTCACGGGGGGACGCCAGCAGCCCCAGCCAGCAGCAGCAGAACCTGAAGGAGAAGCCGAAGCAGAAGCAGAGAACGCCAGAGAGCCCAGATAGAGTGAAGACTTGCTGGGGCTGGGGCCTGCCAGCCTCCCAGCCCCCCAGCCAGCACCCCTGCCTGCCATATGCCTGGTGAACCCCAAATAAAAAACCTGCAAAACTACTGAGGACTCTGACTCCTCCTTTACCCGGTCTGCATGGGATCAGAAAACCTGCACTGTGCCCCTTCCAGCCCCTACACAAGGAGTATCAGGTTAGACCAGTGTCTGCAACTGAGTGTGTTTGTTTAAGAAAGGAGATCTGGCAGGAGCAAGGGTCATTTCAACTCAGTTTTTAAAGGTGCAGAAGGAGTTTCTTTATTGTCATTAAGTTGTTTTACTAGTCTAATTTGATAAAGAAGCTAAGGAAATATCTTAAAGTACTTTCAGTGGGCAATAGTTATTTGTAGTGGACATTCCAAAGAACTTTCAAAAAGGCATAAGAATAAATGCAATGTAAGAAAATCTTACAAATTACCAAAGAAAATTAAAAAAAGAAGAATGAAAATCATGGATGGGATCATTTAGACTAGACAAAACAATATAACTTACAGTTTACTTTCCTATGGATAGACTACATTTGGCTTTAGGCTCCCTAGTGGTTACCAAAGAAGGAAGTTAATTTTGTAATTTCATATACAGTAAGATAAAAATAAAGTGATCAGAAAAAGCAAAATGTGCTGATTAGAAAACATGAAAGGAATTTCTCCAAGAAGACCATGTGAAAATGACCGTTTGTGATTTTGAAACTTCTGAATGGCAAGAAGAGCAAGGGTGGATTTCATTAAGCTAATTTCTATTGCAGTGTCAGTGCAGACTGATGGCATACTGAGCACTGGCCATCCAGCATCTCTGATTTACAGACCTGGTTCATGTCATATTTTTTCATTGAGATAACATAGGTTTAGGTTCACATCTCTTCAGATGTATCTACCACACCACACCTACCACCACGACATCCACAGTTCTCCACCATAGTCCATTGGGCCCCCTCCTACTTTGCTCTCACCTTCCCCCTCCCGCCTGCTAGTCTCACTTTCACAGTCAGATTTCTAGGGTTTGTTTTTTTGGCTTGGTTTTATATGATTCTTTGTTTGGTTTCTGGTATTTTTCTTTTCTCTTTCTGGCTTATTTCACTTGGCATAATGCTCTGCATTTCCAATTCATGTTGCTGCAAATGGCAAGAGTTCATCTTTTTATTTATATATATATATTTAGTTATATATAGTCAGTTATATATATAGTATATATACTATCTATAGTATATGTAGTATAGTATTCTTTTTTTTTTTAAAGATTTATTTTTATTTATTTATACAAGCACTGGGTATAGTCAGAAGTGCGGGAGGGTGAGAGAATTCAGCAGAGCCAGAGCAGGGAGCAGAGCAGGCAGAAGGACCGAAGTACACTGCTGAGGGGAACAGTGGGCGGCAGGAGAGGTCTGCGTGCCATGTGGGACCCTCAATCCTGCTCCGGGGGCCAGGGAGCAGCCGGGCATCGAACTGATGCTGCAGAGACTGTGGGCAGCTTTGCAACCCAGCACTCAACCGCTGCGCCACCGGGGAGGCCCTGTAGTATAGTATTCTGAATATAGTATTTCATTGTGTATAGCCCCCACTCTTAGTTCACTCATCTGTCCTTGGACATTAAGGTTGTTTTCATAACTTGGCTATTATAACTAGGGGTGCAGTAAGCATAGGAGTGCATACTTAAAATTAGTGTTTCTCCATTCTTCCAGTTGATACTTTTGAAAGAAATTGCTGAATTGTATGGTAAATCTGTTTTTAATGGTTTGAGAAACCTTCATACTGTTTTCCATAGGGCTGGACCAGTATGCATTCCCACTGACAGTGTAGGAGGGTTCCTTTTTTCCCACATTCTCAAGAACACTTGTCATTTCTGGTATTTTCCATATGAGCCATTCTTACAGGTGTGAGATGGTATTGCATTGAGGCTTTGATTTTCATTTACCTGGTAAGTCATGAATCATTTTTTTATATGCCAAAATGGCATCATATTCTTAAATTTATTCTTAATAAACAGTGAGTCTAGCAAATAGCCTCTTATTTTACCTCACAGAAAACCTGTTCCATTATTCATTAATCACCTTTCTGCTTTCCTCATACAGATTAGGTGCTTGATTGTTCTGAGTTAACATCAGTGTATTTACAGGAAACTTCCCAGTGGGAGATAGTTATGGAATACTAAAGTTTACATTATTGTCATAGACTATAAAAAAATGCTTCAACTTTATGCTACTCATTACTACAACTTTTTCTCTTCATCATCTGTTCGGAAATCCGGTATCCGGTGCTTACTAAACATGGTAATGCGATCAAAGGAAGAATGTCAACTGACTAGAGCAGATTACTAGAAATCAGAAAATTCAGCTTCTAGCCATCACTCAAGCATTGATTTTATGACAGTTGTCATGTCTTTTGAGCGTTCTAAGCGTCTTCATCTGAAGCCAAGTTTGCCCTGGTCAATCTCACAGAACTGTTCTTGGACAAATTAGATAAGGGTAAAAGTGCCTTGAAGGTAAAGCCACTCTGAATAAAAGTTAGTATGAATAGCTACTGAAAAGTATATTGCAGAGGCTAGAATGGTTGACCTTTGCAGCTTTCATGACTAGGTAATGCTTCATAATGAATCTCTGTTGTAGTGCCAGGAAGGCACAGTGCAGGTTTTCTATGATCCGAGCAGATGGGTAAAGGGGAGTCCTAGAGCCCTTGATGGCTTTTTCAGGCTTTTATTGAGCTTTTACCAGGCACATGGCAGGCAGGGAGATTGAGGGGCCAGGAGGCTAGCAGGCCTCCCTGCCCCCGGCAAGTCTTCACTCTTTCTGGGCTCTCTGGAATTCTTGTTCTTCTCTGCTGGTGCTGCTCTTGTTCTGCTTCTCCCTTCTCTTGCTCTTTCTCTCCCTTCTGCTCTGCTGGTGACCCCGTGACGCCACCCTTATAAGCCCAGTCTCTCAGCCCAGGTGCGCCCACCTATGCATGCCCACACTCTACTCCAGGTGTCTGCCATGAGGCATGCATATAGGACCACAGGGATCCATCATTAATCCTAATGGCGGGAAGGTGGGAAAGCCTGATACTTTTTCACTTACCCTACATCTGTCAAAGAAGCTAACTCATTAGATTATGATTATATAATATTTAATGGGGAAAAAATCCCTTTGTAAACATTTTTTACCTTGATAAAAATGTGCATTAAAAATCATGTCTAGGGCCTCCCCAGTGGCGCAGTGGTTGAGTGCTGGGCTGCGAAGCTGCCCGCAGCCTCTGCAGCACCGGTTCATACCGGCCACCAGCGAGGGTCCCACATGGCGTGCAGACCTCTCCTGCCACGCCTGCTGCTCCCCTCGGCAGTGTATTTCATCAGCCTGCCTGTTCTGCTGCCCGTTCTGGCTCTGGTGAATTCTCTCACCCTTTCATGCTTCTGACTGTACCCAGTGCTTGTATAAATAAATCTTAAAAAAAAAAAAATCATGTCTAAATTAAATAAAATCTTTATGTGACTTCAACCTATAATCAGTTTATGGTGTCTGTAGTCATTTTGTAGGGTGAGGATTTTATATGTTTAATAAATTGATAAATTATTAAACATTGTGTGGGAAAGAGAAATTGACTAGAATGTTTTCTCAGATAATAATTATTAAGGTAATTACAATTATTTTGAAGATGGACATAACTAAATTGAGATTTCCCTTTTGTTAATTTAGTAGAAATGTTTAAGCCTTATATTTTTTCCTGATTCCTTCTTTTTCTATCAAAATTAACATCCTCATTCTCAGTCCTAAATCATGATGCAGGCCAACTAACTCACTGCTGGCTCAGAAAATAAATAATGTCTTAAGGTAGGAACAAAAGTGGAGAAATGTTTTTTCTTGCAGGGAAATCCCTTTTGTGCTCTTACTCCTTTCCCCCTTTATCTGCCCACAAACACACAGAATTCCTCTGTAAATTCCTAGCACGCTGTGTTTAGTCCTTAAGAAAAGAGAAATGAGCAAATATTTGATTGTTTGGACCTGGCCTGGAAAAGTTTCTATCCAAGCTAACTTAAGAAATTTTTATTCCTGAGTCAACTTGATCTGTTTTCTTCTGTCAGGGGGCCATTCCTCGTGGCACTGGGGAAATCTTGGCATCCAGAAGAATTTAACTGTGCACACTGCAAAAATACAATGGCCTACATTGGATTTGTAGAGGAGAAGGGAGCCCTATATTGTGAGTTGTGCTATGAGAAATTCTTTGCTCCTGAATGTGGTCGATGCCAAAGGAAGATCCTTGGAGTAAGTATTGGAAACCTTTTTATTATGAGTTTTAGAGAAGAATAATTTGTTATAAAAACCTTTCATCATTTTTACTTTTTGTTTTCTTCTTGCTTGATTCCCTCTGCTTTCATCACGATTTATTTTCTTAGAGCAAAACTAAATGGACCTCTATAGAAGTATATCGGACCCATGGGGTTAAGTTGTCTTTAGTTTTATCTTACTGAGTGTTGGCTTGTCTGGTGAAAGTCTAGCCACTGTGGGGAAAAAATAATTTACTGTGGGTGTGCTACTTCAACAGGACCCTGTTTGCTGAGGAATGAAGAGGTCGCACAGACCACACACAGCAGAGTTCCCAAAACTGACACCTTCACTGTTTTAAATTAAATTCCATAGCTTTTATAAGAACAACTTTTCCCCACTTGTCAGGGTTCAAGCATAGGGCGCAGCTCTTATGAAATATATAAAACATGAGCCTTATAAATGATATATTTTTCTTGAATGCATACAATGTTTAAAAATATAACCTGTTTTATGAGTGTATACATATGATAGAAAAATAATCAAACCACAACTTTTTTATTTTTAAGGGAGTAATTTAGGAGTCAGGTACATAATAAATAATAATGAATGAATGAATTTCCTACTCTGGAATACTCAGTCTGCAATCATGAAGTAAGAGTTAGGCATTTCCTAGCTATAAGTGACTAGGAATTGGAATTTTATTTTAGAGAAGCGGGTGAAGGTTCCCATTATCATACAAATTATACAGAAGTTGGAAATGCCATTGCTGTAGTCTAGTATTTTCAGTATGAAAAATAATAATGAAATTTAATTCAAATCAATTGAGAGAAAAGTTAGTATAAATTAATGAGTTTAAATGGGTCCAAAAATTCAGGACACTTAAAAGTTATAAGTATACCACATGAAATATATCTGTATTACTAATTTGTACACTATGTTGGGAACAAAAGAGTAATGATTCAGACTACATACCCTTCTACATGATGACAAAAAATAAATAGAGCATGCATTTATAAACTTTATAAAACAATGTCAAGTAGAGTCTTAGGGTCAAGTAAGGTTCTATTTTTTTACTCTAAACAATTAGAAAATATAAAACGTATAAAGAATAAAATAAAATGGCCTGTGTATTTATCAAATTTTCATCCAGTTTGCTCTTTACACATAATCTATTTACAAAATTGTAACTATGCCTTATGCATATAACATTCTCGTTTTTGTGTGGTAAATATAAAGGAAAGAGAAAATTCCTGTGTTAGCTGCTCTTCAAAGCTGGTTTTTTGTATTCTTTTATTGAGGTGACAATGGTTTGCAGTACTTTAGATGAATCAGAGGTATAGGTCATACCATATAATGATATTATATTACCACACCTCTTAATTCAAAGAAATGATTCCTTGCAAAGCCAACTTCCCAAAATTTATTTTAATAATTAAATCTGGCCCCAAGTCTTTGATACTGGGTATATTTAGCCCTAGAGCCACTGTTGACTAGAATCAATGTTTTATGGTTAAAATTGTAGACACTCATTTTAATGTGTGCTTAGTACAGTCACAGCTAATTTCCAAAACCCTAAACATGTGTTAAACTGGTCAGATTACCTTGATTGTGTTAACTACTTCCATAATACACCAAAATAAAAGTTTGTTTTAGTTTTTGAATGTTTTTGCCCTTATTCCGAGACATTGTCAGTACTATGAAACCCACCTTTTGAGAGAAAGCAGAATATATTGTAGTAAGCACTTACGAAATGTTTATTCACTGCACGCATAATGTTTAAATAACTCAACAGTCATTCTTCACATAAGTTTATTGATGTGTATTTGTGAAAAACAAACATATAGTACATCAGTTTACATGATTTGTAAGTCTGTCCTGTTGCTTAGATGAAAAGCTCAAGACAGCCACAAAACATGTGTGTCTACTTTGGGCCAGTTTCACTCAACCATATTGGTACAGCTATTAGAATAAACATTTGCATTCATCTACCTTTCTATAACAGGAAGTCATCAATGCTTTGAAACAAACTTGGCACATTTCCTGTTTTGTGTGTGTGGCCTGTGGAAAACCCATTGGTAATAATGTTTTTCATTTGGAGGATGGTGAACCCTACTGTGAGACTGGTAAGATATAGAAGCCATTAGATAAAAAGATAAAACATTAACCCTAATATTGCTGTACAGCTAAAAGGAAATTTTGGGCAAAATAGTTTCCCTAATTGTTTAGGCTCATTTATTGTTACTCTCAATATATAGCAAATGTGAAAATTTTATCTCATTTTGTCCAAACAGTCCCAACACATTAAGACAAGTGAGCTTGTAAACATTACTTTAATGCAAACATATTTTGCTTGACTCCACAATATTTTACAGATATAAATTCTACCAAATCTTGTAGTTTAAAGCCACCCCTTAACACTCCAATGGGTGAATTTTGAATGACTATAAATGAGAAATATTCAACTTTTGAATTGATTTGTTCTTTAAGGCAACTGCCTTGACAATATTTTAGAAATCCTTTGTTACTTTACTGCATGAGAGAATAAACCTGGTTTGGATTACTCCCTTGATAAAATTATTTTTTAAAAACTAGGCTTTAAGGAAATATCTACTACCTTTGTCTTATTACCTGAACTAGATACCTAGGAGTGGAATTGCTGGATCATATTACAGATCCATTTTTAGTCTTTTGAGGATTTCTCAGCAATTAAAAAAAAAAAGATAAACTCATGCCAGAGAACTTGCTTTTCCTTCCAAAGGCTATAAATGAACTTCCGTAAGACTTATTTATTAATATTACCCTAATTTAGATACTACCACCCATATATTTTAGAAGTAAAATATTTTTCCTTTATTCTTCCCTTCACTACCACTGCATTGTGACCATGTAATTTTATTACTGTTCTACCTTGAAATTCAAAATGTGGTGCAATAAGAAAGGAATATTCTATGGTGATCAAGTTAAAGCAGTAGTCAGCTTCTTGAGATGGTCAACCTCATTCAACCCTTCTTTGCCAACTCAGTATTCTCTTATTTTCACCTTTCTTTTAGGTCCCTAGTTAGGACTAATCTAGATCTATACGAGACTATCCACAAGAAAGCCCTGGAAATTCTGTCAACTACGCCATGGGCTGTTTTGTGACAGGTTGACTGTAAGCTGCCTACCCTCATTCAACCAGCATAGTTCATATTTTATAATTCCATTTAACTCTACTGAAGAAAGAGGTGTTTGTTTTAGATGCTTTGCAAGATGTTTTGACTGTTTGGCAAATAGTCCTTATCTAACCAAAACACATAATAAACTATCTTAATATTATATTTAATTTGTCTGTGTCATATTTAAAACCCCAAAAGCGCCTCACAAAGGGAAAAATATTATTAAAGATTTCTTTAAATGTCACTTCTAATCAACTTGTTCTGTTTGTTCTCTTTCTTTCTTTTTTATTTAAATATTTATATATATATATTTTACATCATTGTACATTTTTGTACCATGTTTGATTTCTCCTCTCAGGTGTACTCCCTGTAAAATTCCCACCACCAAGTCACCCGTGAAGCATTACCATAGTCTCTTGTGCTCTTCCCGCCCCTGTTTTAATCCCTCTCCCTCCCCCTCCTCCGCTGAATGTCTCCTATTTATAGTTGACTGCTAGTTTTGTCTTCCTTTTTTTCCCTATTCTTTTTCTTTAGCCTCCTACACTTATTCTTAAGCCAGTCTCTCTCAGATCAGTGATTCCACTTTCCCCTATCCAAAAACCTAGTGACATCTTGGATTCTTCTCTATTCTTTGTTCTCCCAATTAGCAGTCTAATGAAGTAAATTCTAGTAGTTTCATCCCCAGTGCATTTTGAATTCATTCATTTTTCTCTACCTCAATTATCACCACTAAATTTAATTCAACTCTCCCTTTCTCTTAACATTATAATTGTCAACTAAATGGTCTATCTTCTTTCCCCCAAACCTCAAATAGTAGCTTTGGTGATTTTATTTTATTAAAGTGAATCAGATTCTGTCTAAAATCATGGTTTCCACCAGAGTGAAAATTATTTTCCTTTCTGGGGCCTGCTTTGCCAGCCTTTCCCTGCCACCTTGCCTTCTGTTAGTGGATTCATATTTTCTACCCTTCACTCTTTCTAAACCTGCCAAGAGCCCTCCTGCCTCTGGGCTTTTGTATTTGCTGATTCTTGTAACTGAAATATTCTTCTCCAGTTTTTCTATAACAATTCCTCCCTTTTTTTATTTCAAGTCCCCTCACAACTATTACCTCCTCAGAGAGGACTTTCCTGACGCCTCTATATTGAGTTGCCCTCCCCTCCCCCAGTTATTCAATAATGCATCACAGTTTTCTTTCCCTAACATTTACTAAATCTGAGATTATTTATTGTTATTTACTATTATTTGTTTATTTTGCTTAGAACAACTGGGATGTAGACCTGATTTGTGGGGGGTGAGAGGATTCACCAGAGACAGAGTGGGGAGCTGAGCAAGTGGATTTACTTAAATACACTGCTGTGGGGATCAGCGGACAAGACAGTGACATATGCCATGCCATATGTGGGCTAGCTCCCTGGCTTGGGATCAAACTCAGGCCATAGCAGTGATAGCGCTGATACTTAACCCCTACGCCACCAGGGGGATCCCCATTTATTTATTGTTAATGAAATACCATTGCTTTAATCTTTGTTAATATTTAGGATTTCTCCCCTCAGGTATCATTGTTGCTCTTCCACCACCAAAGCACAAATAGTCCTCCCCTACTCCATTGTGCCCTCCTCTCCTGCTTCTCATCTCTCCTTGTCTTCCTCTCCCACCTCCCCTTTGGATGCTGCCTCAGATCTATGTTCAGTTTTCAAGGATTGGTTTTATAGTCTGTCTTTGTTTTGGTTTCTCTGTATCCCACAAATAAGTGACGCCATCTACTATTTATCTTTCTCTCTTTCTGACTTATTTCACTTAGTATAATCCCTTCCAGCACAATCCATATTGCTGCAGATGGCATGAGTTTATCTTTTTTTTTATTGCTGAGAAGTCCTCAAAAGATAAAAATGGATCTGTCCTATGTTCCAGCAATTCCACTGGAAACCTGTACTCCTATCATTACTCTTTTTTTTTTTCTTTTTAAGATTTATTTTATTTATACAAGTACTGGGTACAGTCAGAAGTGCAGGAGGGTGAGAGAATTCACCAGAGCCAGAGTGGGGAATAGAACAGGCAGACTGACGAAGTACACTGCTGAGAGGAGCAGCGGGCAGCAGGAGAGGTCTGCGTACCATGTGGGACCCTCGCCCGGCATCCAGGGATCGAACTGGTGCTGCAGAGGCTGTGGGCAGCTTCACAACCCAGTGCTCAACCACTGCGCCACCGGGGTGGCCCCCTATCATTACTCTTTAACGTAAAGCAAATTATAACTGAGAATACAAGCCCCATGAGAACAACCTCATGTGTCTGCTTCATCACTATACCCCTACCAGTGTCTGGCATACGTAGGGCTCTGTGCATATGTGTTAAGCAAAGAGGTGGGAAGGAATTCCAAAGGTTGCTAAGAAAAATAAATCAAGTTGCTTGTGATAGCCTACTTTCTCCTCCGTCCCTAGTTGAACTGAAAATGTCAAAGATGAAAAAGTGAACCATGAGTAAACATGGTAGTGAAGGTAGCTGCATAAAAGAAAATAAAAATGCTCATAAGTTCCACTTTTGTAGTAATAGAGAAGCATCTTATTGAAAGTGCTTTCTACCAAAGGAAATCCAATTTGTATTTTATAACCATATCTGTGTATTCTCTGGCTAAGGATTTTCAACATAAAGTCATAAAATTGAAAGAACAGGAAAAGAAATAGTGGCTGATATTGTGATTCAGTCCAGCTAGAAACTTAGTCATGGTACTTATTCATACAAGTTTCCCGTGACTGTTTTTTCCTTTATTAAGTCAGATTCAAATGAAATTTTGTGGTACCAGAGATTTCTTCTTGATTTATATTCACTGATCTTATTGTTGCTAGTCATTGGAAGTTGTCTGGTATTTTGTTGAAACTGTCATGTCTAATGATAAGTTACCAGAGTACAGTGTTGTTCTTCATAATACATATTAGGTGTCTAAGCAGTTGTTGAGAATGAAAAGTATTACATAAAAAATAATAAGGAATGTGATGTAAATAATGCTTACCAAGAGAAACCTGAAACTCTTAATTACAAGTAACTTTATCTCCGCTAATTCTAATTTTGTTGCTGCGCACTAGGAACTGACGTTCTACAGCTTTGTCATGTTTGAATTACGTCTCTCTCTACCCTCACTCTGCTTTCCCCGCTACCCCATACAGATTATTATGCCCTCTTTGGCACCATATGCCATGGATGTGAATTTCCCATAGAAGCTGGTGATATGTTCCTGGAGGCGCTAGGCTTTACCTGGCATGATACTTGCTTCGTGTGCTCAGTAAGTATGCTCATTTCCGAACTGAAGGGCACAGTGTGGCCATTTCTGGCCTAAATACTAGATGGAAACCCTTCAAATGCAGAAAAAATTTACAGTGGTTTAAAAAGTTATTTAGTAAAATTTTGGGCACTTTGTGAAATTTTGGGGCACACAATAAGACACTTGGTCCTTAAGAGAAAGTCCTGTTTTCAATATTCTTTTTTTAATAAGGAGACTCTATATATATTCCTTGAAACAGTAAGAGTCCTTTACCTTTATTTAATGCTTTTTTTATTGCAGTGCTTTCAGTAGTTTTTAGAAATGTTAGTACTTCTCAAAAAAGTTATAAAAATCTGGTATTGAATTACACCAAGTAAACTGTATCCATGCTCTTTCTCAGTCCGTGAATATTCTTTTGTGAAACTATAGTAAACATGCAGTAATCTATTTGTATATTTCATTTGATATTTTAATATTTGGGTCTTTTTAATCAGGAGGATAAACTCAGAGATTATCCTTGACCTATGATATATATTTATACATAGATGCCCAAAAAAAGGTACTCTGGTCAGATGTTTGATTTTTTTAAATTAGACTTTAACCAAACTATATACAGTAGTTTTCATTACCTATTGTATCAAGAAGGGAAAAAGGTGTGTTAATTTTTTCATTGGAACCAAATGCTTCATTCCCCATAGAGAAAAATAATGATTCATGATTCAAATTAATTAAAATACATTCCAGGAAAAAGTCATTCTTTATTGCTTTTGAAAGATTATATGAAATGTCAACTTATTCAACAACCAACTATAAAGTGCTTTGTCATATTATCTATTGATTGAAAAATCATTTTCTGCTTCTTAAGCATACTTGATAAGATAATAATAGTCACTTAAATAATGTTTATTTTTCAGGTATGCTGTGAAAGTTTGGAAGGTCAGACCTTTTTCTCCAAGAAGGATAAGCCACTTTGCAAGAAACACGCTCATTCAGTCAATATTTGAAAGTTAACAGGGGAAGAGAAGAAATTTGAAGAGAAGAGGAGAATTAAAATTACCAACTAATTTTCAGATTAAATATTTATATGAAGTTTTGAAAAATAATTGTGGCCCTGAGGGATAAATTCCAGCTTTTAAAACCAATTCTATGAGGAAATATTTGGCTTCATAAAGTAAAGAGACAGTTTGGCATTTATTAATACTTTTTCCTTGTAATTTCTGCCTATAAAATAACTTTTATAAAAACCAATTTCCTGGTTGGCTGTTAAATTCATCTAAGAATAAATTAGTGAAGAATTAAATTCTAGAATTAAAAAAATTCAGCCTTTATGCTGAAATAACTACTTTCCTTATTAGATAGTTATAAGTCTTTCTATAAAAGACAATGAAAATGCCTCACGCTTTATCATAAGTGAAGCATTGTATTTTTTAAAGTGTTCTTTAAAATAGTAAATAGGAGTTTAAACATAATTTTATCAGTAATTGGTGTCAGTTTTTTTAAATCACATATACATTTTTTCGGTCCTATAGTTGACTTTTCTAGCAGGAAATATCAATGATGTTATAAAAATATGTCATGCCAATAAGTAAGTCTTTTCTGTAATTCTCCCCCACCTTCCAAGGCCACCATATAGCTTATAAATCTCAAATTTTAACTTTTATTAAAATATGGGTATTTCTATTCATTGTGTATGTTTCATCCCCATATTAGTCAAACTCCATTTTTCCTTTCCTTCATCCTGAGTAAAGAACTAATTGAACAACTTTGGATTCTGATCGTGTTCTCTAAGTTTAAAGACACTAAGTAGAGAATAATGTGGCTAGGAAATAAGGTAAATCAGTATTGTATTCAAAAAAAATTTAATTTCCCCCATTTCTGGACAGATATAAATAGTTTAGATCTGTTTCAGAGCTGACCTGCTGACATATGAGGTTTTAGAACTCTCTTTTCCTGGCATTTTTTCCCCTTTAATTCTACATTAGAAAAATAAAAGAATGCCTGGAGATGTGAGAATATCTATGTTGTTTTTCTCCTGCTAGCTCTCTATCAGTGATAAATAAACCACCTCCACATAGATCACAAAGTTTGGGAAGTTTATTCACGGAGGTTGGTTTGTTAGTAGGAGACCATGATTACTCAACTGTTTTTGTTTTCTTCATTTTCAGAAAAAAAAAAAAAATATATATATATATATAGATACCACATGAAGACAGAAACAAAGATGGTAAAATTGTGGTTCCTATTGATACTAACCCAGTGAGGAAGCATAATGGCATTTGATAGTTTTTGCCTTTATTTCCAGAATGGGTGAAAGTCCATGATCCCTTTGTGTTAGAATTTAAATTTGTTTGGGACAAGGTGCTTCAAAAGTTAAGACAAAGACCAAGTCCTTCCTGCCCATCCCTCACTAATAACTTCATTCAGTTGTAGACATGTTTGTTATAAAGAGAGTTTAAGTTACAGTATTTGCCTAACTTCCTTAAGAACTTTTCAAGGCATCTGCCCTGGAAGCTGTTAATTTATGGTCTAACAGATTTATATTATATACAGATAATAATTAACTGGAGATAGAAGAATGAGAAGGGTTGACACAAAGTGGCAAATGGAGTGCCTCACCAGTAGCAACCCGACTACCTCCTCACCCTCTGACTTGTAGGGAAGCAGGAAGTGGTTTTGAAATAAAGTCCTGGAACTAAATTGTACATTATTTCTCATTGCTGCTGCAACCACCTTTAGAGGGCATACTGGCTAAGGTGCACTGTCTCGTATCTTGATGCCAGTTTTTTGCTTTACACAATGTAAAATCAGTGGGTGGATTTGTTTTTGGTGTGGTAGAGAATTTTTTGTTATATAGTTATGCTTTTTATAGTTTATATGCCAAGATAATATTTGATAAGTCAGTGGCATTTGGATATTTTCTTCAAGGAATTGTATTTGACCTGGACTTCTTATAAAATTGATTTTACATTAAGGATACATTTTTACTAAACTTTTTCCTACATATTATTCAAGGAGCTTCATGTTGCATTTCTCCAAATCTTATCCCTAAAAAGGTAAAATTGCTTCCTAATTTATCATTTAGTCTTTGTGCTTTGTCTTTCTGTTCTGTGACAAAGTTTTATATCTGTTGGTAAAACTGTTAATTCTGTGAAATAACTGTTGTAACCCAGAAGAATCTGTGTTTTCCAATAGGGGATGCCATATTTAATATACTAGCATTAACATTTTAATAACTGACACAGCACTTTATTCTTCTGGTGAGCTCCCTGAATATTTATTTTTCAGATTATAAATATTCCATGTCAGTGGTATGTTTTTAATTTTACCTCTTTTCTGTAGAGCATTTAAGTCTCTCTAGATGTATATTTTGGAAAGCTGTACTTGGTACACTACAGATTAAAATAAAAGTACATAACTCTAAAGCATCCCCTACTTGAATTTCCCAGCCCCAAAATGTTAGTGATAAGCTCAAATTTACAGCATTTCTCTAGACTTAAAAAACAAATGCCATTTGTTTAAAAAACAAATAATGCCCTCTGCTTATGTTCATTTGGAACACATTTAGAATCTAAAGCTAAGGCCTAATCATTTGATCACAACATTGACAAATAGAAATGAGTTTAACTTTTCAAAATGTTAGTATAATGTTACGTTTAGAAATCATCTACAACAAAAATATATTTATGGTGTCATTTTCAAGGGATATTATTTCAAGGGGGGCCATTTTTATAGAAAATAGTTCATTCCTCTTTCCCATTCAAGTATGAATCTGGTGTTATATTAAATTTTATTTTGATGTTTGGAGTTTAGCCATCCCTATTGAAAGGAAAGGCTTTGCCAACATAAAGGGAAAACATACTGAGTAGTTTTACACAAATGTAATGTGGCTTCAGTTTGCCCATTTTCATTCTCCAAATGTTGAGGTGTTGGGTTGGGATTCTCAATGTATCATTTGCTCATCTATTAATCTCTCAGCTGGTTCTTTATATTTTTAAGTTTGTACATGTTTCTTCTATTTTGTATACATTTCCTAACTCAAACCACATGAGAAATATAATCAGTAGAGTAATACCTTAATGTGCACATATACGCTAAATAAATGGCTGCGGTAATGTAGACAAATCCTCCTGGTTTTTCTTTTTTGGGGTGGCAAGAGTTTCCACTGAGAAATCATGGGAAAAGTATCAAGGATAGGATCAGATGTGGTAATCCTTGGGAGAATCCCTGTTTTATGATTTTTGCCTGTTATAATGTCTGCCACAAAACCAAGCATTTAAAAATGCTGTCAGATTATTCATCTTTAATCCATGGTTATATTCTGTATGTAGCATGTACACAATAAATGTTTGTGAATAGATAAGTAAGCTCTATTGTCTTTAAAAAATTCTGGCTGAAGTTACTGAAATAACCTATTATATCAGATATTATGTTCAAACAATGCAAGTTCTCATCTGTATTTCTTACATTTTTTCGTTGACCAGGGTACTTTGCTACTTCATGCTTAATTCATTCTTATCTCCTTAGCTAACTGATCTGTAACTGGGTAGGCTCACCTAATCCTTGTTTGTTGATTGGTTTAAGATTTTTTTCCAAATGTATTAAGAATAATGTTTCTGTTGCACGTTGTATATCGAAATAAAAGACAAATTCAAGTATATTTGCTCACAGTATATTAAACTCCAGAAGCCAAACTTATAAGGGCATCAAGTCTGCATCTGACATTTTAATAGCTGCTGTTTGGTTTCTATCAATCACGTCATTGCACATTAAAATGCACCGACAAAATAAGAGATCTGTCATTTCTTCGTTAAAAAACAGTAATCCAGTACAAGATTTATAGGCTTAAGTCTCAGCAGTGTATGTTCACAATAAATCCCCATTCAGTACTCAAACCAGAACAAGCCTTCCTGTCATTCAATGTTTTCTGGTCAAATGTCCCAATTTAAAATTATCAAAGGTTTTCTTACAGAACTAGGAATAAAATCCTTTTTGCCAGCGAAAGCTTAATTTAGGTTGGTGGTTTCCCTTTTTGAGTACTCTCAGACAAGATCTTGATTATATCAGAAACACATAGGTACTGATGTATTATTAGTGGGCCTGGTGTTAATTAGGGAGAATTACCAGAAGTAGTTTGCTTCATGGGAATTTATTACAGAATCACACTTGACTGATGGCAGAATAGGAGTTGCTGAGAGAGAGCAGCTCCCACTCATAACCACTAATTAATAGGGTGCCAAAATTCCACAGAGAAGGTTTCATCCCAAGTGTGGGAGCCTCACAGGGAAACTGGTTCCACTGCAGTATTTAAAATTTAAAAGAGGAAAGGAGCTTAGGCACATGACTGTCCAACAGAAATCTCAGACTGATACTGTTTTGTATTTTACTTATGAATGAGAACATTTAACTGAGAAAACACATTGCCCAAAGGTTTGTGAACGAATCCCTTTCCCTGCAAAAGTCAAAAGTAGTTGGTTGTATTTACCACACTAAGGAGATAGGCGTAGTGTTTTCAGCGTGGCAAGTGCAAGTCATTCAACTGTTCCTTGTATGAAGAGAATTTAGAACAAGCCATTTGTTTATGGAATTTTACCACTGATCTTTTGATTCCATGATTTAGAAGCTGTCTGAGTAGGTGGCAAAACTGCACCAATAATCAGAAAAGGTGTAGCTTCTACACTTTGAACCCAGAGTTGGGGGCAAACACAGTGTGTTTAGTGATTGGCACTAGTCGCAGTGCACTGGGGGAGCCCTAGCAAATGAAAGTTGGCCAAGAAGGCACTTTTTTTCTGTGTCTCTAACTGTACTGTAATCACATACAACAAAGACTTGAATCTGTGGCTTGGTGTAGAGGAATAAAGCGTTTTCATGTCAGGAAGTTACTGATCGCAGACCTCAGGGAGAAAAATGAAACAATTTAGAGTTCACAGAGTATAATTGTTGAATTTCTCTTTAGGCAAATATTGTTCCCCAGGAAAATGACTAGGTGCTGGCTCTGTGAACTGATTGACATGGTCTTAATGCATCCGTGTTTCAAAGGACTGAGTTTCTGTTTGATAATTGGTTTCCAGATTACTTTTTCACCTTCCATGTTCTAAATTGTCACATTTACTCGATAGTTCAAACATACTTAGGTTTTGTCTTTTCCTCCTTTTTAACCCTTTTTTTTTCTTTTGCTTATAAAACACACACAACTGCTAATATTCTAAGCACTTACTCAAAAATACCATTGTTTAAAGTACTTTTGTAAAATATACTATCTTCAGAGCTGTCTTGATTTTTTTCCCATAGTGTATCACTGAGATGCCAAATGTTTCCTTGATAAATAGAAAAGTAAAACTCCAGTGACTCGTCATACCAACAGTAGTATTTACATAAATGAAAGCCCTACACTGATCTCCTCTGCTAAGTGGATCCCTGTTTGCTTGAGAATCCTGACCATCTCAAGCTACCTAATTTGAATGAAAAAGAATCTTGGAAATTTTGAAGTATGAACTTTGAAACACAAGTTAAATTAATTCTAGCTCTATCAGCCAAACTTAACCATTGATTCTGCTCTGTTAGATTATGCTACTGGTTAATAATTTTGGTTCCATTAGAAATGCTTCAAATAGGGCCTCCCCGGTGGCACAGCGGTTGAGCTCTGGGTTGCGAAGCTGCCCGCAGCCTCTGCAGTGCCGTTTCGATCCCTGGCTGCTCCCCGGCCCCCGGTGGAGGGTCCCACATGGCGCGCAGACCTCTCCTGCCGCCCGCTGCTCCCCTCAGCAGTGTACTTCGGTCCTTCTGCCTGCTCTGCTCCCCGCTCTGGCTCTGGTGAATCCTCTCACCCTCCCGTGCTTCTGACTGTACGCAGTGCTTGTATAAATAAATAAATAAATATTTTAAAAAAAAATGCTTCAAATAAAAATGAACTTCATAAGCAAGTTGGGAGGCAACAAAATAAACCCAATGCTTATGCCTCAAGAAAGATAAAGCAATGATGTGAACCTATAACTTTGCCTGAATAGCCAGGAAGTTCTAGATGATCAACAATATTAGCATCATGTAGATATTGCGAGTATAAATTAAGCTGGGGTGGGGGTATGTGTGATTGCCCCTAGAGGCATGGGCTGAGACCAATAAGACAAATCTCATCATAACAAGAAAAGTTTAAAAGAATTTTTAAGAATGATATGCATAACTGAAAATATAAAAAGAACTCTACAAAGTAAACTAGGACTAAGAAGATGCAGAAGGACAACCTCAGAACAAGAACTCTGTCTCCCACGTGAGGGTAGACCTTGTTGGAGAATGTGTGTTTGCAGCCCACTGAAAGACCAAGAAGTTCACCAGTTGCTGAAGCAAGAAGGGGTCCTCAGTTGCAGGACAAAGAAATGGCTTTAGAATGCAAGTAGGCCAAGGTTGCAGGGTAGTGTGCAAAGGGAATTAGGGTACTGCTGTGGACACAGACCTGAAATTCACAGCATCCTTGTCAAGAGACTGTGGCAAGATGACTACCAGATAGTCCAGGAATGTGAAATCACCAAGGGCTGTGCACTGTGGATGCACAACTGAGCCAAGCTCCTCCAGATATCTCCACACACACCAACGATGGACATGCAGCTAGAGCAGGAAAGAAAGTCAAATGCAATACCTGGAGCCAGGAAGCCATTTGTAATATCTGCTCCCCCAAATAATGACTGAAAAATCTTAACTGTACACACTATAGAGAAATGGTTACAGAGTCCAGCCCACTGTCACAGACTAGGACCTAGAGCATGAACTTGGCACTAAAAACAAGAAGTTGACCATGACACATTAGGTTGCAAAATAAGATCTTTTGAAATGCAATTAGTTTGAAACGTCCATTATCCAGAACATCAACGCATATTCTTGGTGAATAGGAAAGTCAAATAAATTCTAATTTTGTTCTTTATTGTCAAAAATCCTGCAGTAAGTAATATTATCTTCAATATGCAAAGAAAGCGTAATGTACTGATAGTGTTTTTCAAGGTCTACCCCCTAAACATCCAGGATAATTGAACAGTTCTGAATACTTAAGAGTTTTAATTTTAGATAGAACCAACCAGAGGGGTTTTTCAGTTAACAATTTTTTTTGGCATAAATCTAAATCCTACCATATTGGAAAAATGGATCATTTTTATTTTTAGTAATAGCAAAAAGATTAAAAATTGCTCCTTCATGGTGAATTAAACCATGAACGAACAAACAGTGGATCTAGAATAACATATTTGTGGCATAGTCTTTGTCATTTGTATGGCATGCTCTTTCATCTGTGACACTAGAGTAAACTAGGACACTGTAAGATTCTAACAACTGGAGAATATGTGAAAGTCAAGGATTTTTAACCATCTTAGAGATGAGAAAATGAAAAGTCAGGATTGATTCTTTGAAAAACGCAGCAATTAAGTGACAAATCTGCTTTGTCTAATAGACTAGGGACAATGTTTACTATTTCATCCATATTCTCTTAGAGTCCCCTCATTCATAAGGGACAATCCCCCACATGGTTAGTTAATAAATGACAGTTTTAGGATTTACTTGATTTTGATAAAATATGTAAAATTTAAAAGCTCATTCTATCTGACTTTTACAGTTGCCCACTACACAGATGTCGATATCTGAGTGGTTTGCAATGGGACCATCTGTTCCCCAAGAGTATTTGTGACTTGGTAGCCCTCTCTGCAATGCAACATTTGCTGTTCTTTGTGTTTTCACCACATTTCAAAGCAACACAACAATAACGAGACTACGTTGGTGTGACGTGTAGATATCACCAAATGTGATACCAAGCAAATAAGAAGGCTGTAGAAAATGTAATTAAAATACTCCTATACACAGAGGTCAACAATATCTATTGAAAAGATGTTGGAAAATAGGTCAGGGTGTTTGTCACCCGGTTGACTGATACTTCTGCGGTGTGATGAAATTAGTTCCAGGCTGTGAGTCTGAAGAGTGGAAGCTGGAAAAAGTGAGCCCTCAGTAAGACTGTATATATGTCCAATTATACTGACAAGGTTGCCTAAGACTGTGGTTTTCACTCAATTGAAATAAAATCTCTGTGCTATTTGCAATGGCAGGCACTACTGCTAAGTCCACTGAAGCATAGCTGGAAAATCCAGCTGCCCTCACATCTGTTTTACGTGACCTTTCAATCATCGGCAAATATTTTTGCCACTAGAAGTGGAAGTCTGGGTAGGATATGGTTCTGTGATTTTCTAAGATATCACTATGGAAAACATATTGAAACAAAATTCACGCATGTCATGTACTGTGCCCAGAAATTATAGACTTTGTCTGGGTGGTGGCAAGGTTCTGACCTATCAAGAGAACTCACACCTGCTTCTTACATTCAAGTTGCTAATCCTTTGTTCAGCAAATGAGACCTATTATGAAATATGTGAATGGATTGTTATGGCTTAAGTGATTAGGCTCTGATACTGGTTTAGACTAAAATAATGTTGATTAAGATTGTGTCTTTCAAGCTTCTAACCATTTATTATGTCAGAAACCTGTGTGACTTGACTATAATTCTTTGCAAGCCATGTCTTGGTTATAGTGCTTGCTTGAGTTCCAGATTACAATGAAGTGTTCTGAAAATAAAATTTTAAAAAAAACATTCACTAAAGAATCTCTTGAAAGAATGGTAATAAAGTTCAATCTCACACCGATAAATTCCATCCTTACACTAATATGATGGGGAACCAGGGAAATAAGTTCAACTTTGACAACAGCTTGAGTAGTAATTACATGTAAACATTCAAGTCAAGCACTTAGAGAAGACGTTTTTTGAGGAGGAAAGGAGATGGCTGAGAGTGAATTTTGAGTACA